TAAATGTATCAATTGTCGTTACTCAAATAAAACAGAGTATATAATTTGATGTTGATTTACAATTAAAAAAATATTTACTGCATAATAATAAAAAAAAATGTACCAGTTTGACATTGTTTATATTAAATGCCAACCAAGCCTCTAAATTATGTATTTTATTTTTGTTTTCAAAAAGCATATCACATTCTTTCTTATTACTGTTGGTTTTATTGAAATTATGGCAGACCCTTTGCATTGATACTGTTAATAAGTTTGCAAAGGCTAAAATTTATAGATAGCTTGGCTAATATTTTATTTTATTTAAAAATAGTATGCTTTTTAAAGAAATCAAAACAAGCGCTTATTTTTAAAAAATAAGAAAAATAATTTATATGTGAGGAGTAACATAATGGTTTACCGTGAGCTTTTTAATTGTATAATTTGGTAAAATCAATTGATTCTTAATAATTTTTTTATATGAATTCTTGCTTTTCTGTTGAATGAAAAATTAAATTAAAAAAAAAAAAAAAGGTTTTAACGGGTGAATTGGATTTCAAATCAACACTAAAATTGTATTGTGTGATTAGAACGCCAAATTCAACACTAATTTGTGGAATCTGCAGAGTTTGTCCAGCTTCTTGTATGAATTAAGTGCTCATGCAAATATGATCAACCTCACTCTCTAACAAAGCATTTGAGAATTTAGTCAAGCAAATATTTTTGAGACAACACTTTTTATATTGTACAAAATAAAAGTACACCACAACTTTATAATCGATGCTGACAGGCACAAAAGAGTGGCACGAAATAAGTGTGTTATTTTATTTTATTTTATTTCTTCTTAACAGCATTCAAATGCCTTCTACCTAAATACATGTTCACAAGCATGTTTGTACTTATTGAGTAGATGTTTGCAAACTATATAATACCCAACCAGTCTTAAATATCACCTCGTGATTTATGATTTATCATTCAATTGAATTTCAATATAACTGAGACCCATGCAAACAATTTTTCCACCTCCACAACTGAATGGTAAATTCTATGATTTTAAATTTGAATAATACTTTGCGGATAAATACTTTAGAGAATATGATGATTGATAAATTAGAGATATTATTAAAGAATAGTACCGATTTTGTGTGAATGTACTCCAAAAACTTTAGAAAAATAGTGGAAGATAAAGTATTATAAATACGCATCAAATAGCATTTTATAAACGTTTGTATGTTGTACTGACATTAAATGCACGTTCTGTTAAAAATACCAGCAGTATATTTTGCGAGTTTTTATTTATTTTGGCAACAAAGTAAGATTTTTGTGTGTCCCAAGTACAAATAGTGTGTTCATCTGAAAAATATGTAAATTAAACTGAAATTATCAACTAAGATTTGAAATACATACTCAAATGTAGTTTATGATATCCTACATTACACACATACACATAGAGACTTGCATTTTTTACATGTAATACATAGATAGTTGTCCATGAATAATCTAAATTGAGAATGTTATTGCCTGTTGTTTGTTGAATATATATATATATATATATATATAGATAAAGTGATAAGAAATATGACCCAATTCGCAACCTCATTTATGATAAAGAAAGTATATATACTTATGTAATATTTGATAGGTTTTATGATGATGAATCAGTATTAGGATGCTTTAATAAATACATACAGATTATTTTAGTCACAGAACCTTTGTATTATTGGTAAATTCATAATGATCAGTTTGCTTAATTTTTTATTTCAAAATCAAATTTGTATTTCCAAAAGAATAAATGCCAAGTTGATGCAAATCTATTGAAGTGTGGACATGATAAACTTCGATTGAGAACCTTGAGTATATAAATTTTGAGATAGGAAAATAGCAAAACGGAAATATTTGTTGAAGATGTATATATATATATATATATATTTATATAGTACTTATTATACAAAAATATTCAGTCATTAAAAAAAAAAAAGAAGAAAGAAGGACTTATAATATTTACAATGAATTCTGCAAATTAACATATAAAACAATATTCAGCATTAAGTAAAACTTAAATTTTTTCAAAGAATTTATCTCAATATCCACTTAATTCTGTATAGTAATATCATTTATTTTTTATAAATATTATTTCAAATTATTCCAATGCATCGAAACTACTTAAATTTATTCTTAATGTATGGTTACAGGAATTTTATGCTTTGAGTAAATTACTTATAATCCTTAGAATTCCACTTATTAATGATTGTCATTGTTACTTTGAAAGAAAAAAGAAAAAAGAAAAACTCGATATATTCTTTGAAAAGTGAAAGATGTTACTTAATGGTTTAACATCCATGATCATACAATTGTGAGAGAAAAGAATAGTTTAAATTACCTGCATCAATAACAATAAAATTGAATTTTCAAGAGGAAAGTTGATGATATTATGGATGTACTCGTTTCTTTCTTATGGTTTGTATTCATTATTGTTTTTTCAAGTCATTACAATAATAATTCAGGTTCATCAAATCACTAAATAAAAGACTTAAATTTTTGTGTTATATGTAAATATATGCATTTAACCAACTGAAATAAAATTCCGTCCAGTCTATTTTTAATCTTATTTTTTGTTTATTTTAATAAGATTTTTCTTTTTAACTCCATAGAAAATAATAGGAGAAGTTCTTGATGAAAATTGAAGGTATTATAACAAGACCCAACTTAATGTTCATAACAATTCACAAGTCTTAAAAAACTTTTTGTTATATAATAACAAATAAATCATATGTTGGTGTTACAAATGTCCATGTTGTAAACATTTAGATTAAAAGAAAAAACATTAGTTTACCCATTTGACACGAGACATGTTGAAAGGTATTTTGTAATCTTGATGAATGTGATTCATTTCTCTAAGTTCAAATGCATACAGATCAGCAACACAATTTTTAATATAATTGGTTCTGGACTATTCTTATTATCATCATGTGCATTTTACTTTTAATTTTTTTATAAAAAATATTTTATTCTAAATAGGAGGAAAACCTAAACTTAATAAGAAGATGTGTGAACCAAGGTTTATTCTACGGGTATTGAATTAAATGCATCTTATATTAAGAATAATTAGTAGAGATTGAATACTGTTTTGGTTCCTAGTCGAATTGAAGCTGCACATGAAAATGAATGTCTAGTGTTATTTTCATTAATTGACGTGTTTTTTTGAAGCAGGATTCATGTTATTCTTAAATCTTTTTAATAATCCCAAAATGTAACTCAAGTCACTCAATGTTTAGCAATCAATAAATGTTGCATGAATTTTGGTTATAGAGCTATAGTTATTCAAAGTCTAATTTTAGAATAATTTAACATCAAACCAAAAATTAAGGAATACATTTGTTAAGTAATTTAAAATAAACATGGTGGTCTTTATCTTCATTTTTTTTTTTTTTTTTTTTTTTTTTTTTTTGAAAAAACACTAATTGCATCTAAAGTAAGATGCAAATTGTTCTAAAATACTTGTAATTCTCATGTATTCTTACACTATGTTGGCACTTATGTAGATGCTTATTTTTGCAGCCAAATTTTATATAGCACTCATCAATTAGTGTAGAATTTGCATTCCTGAGACGTGAAAAAAAAATATATATTTTTGATACAACTATACAGTTCTAGAATGGGATTTGCTTGTGACATTGTTAGCTCCTGAGTCAGCAATTTGTACCGAAGATACTTGAATATAATATTCTAGTTATCACTCGATCATCACCTATTCCAATATCCTCATAGAAACACCACTCTAAACGTTTTCAACTCTTTTGTTCCAATTTGAGACACTAGATGTCATGGGCATATTCAAAAAAATCAATATATATATATATATATATATAAGTTCAAAAAACCTCAAAACTGTGCATGTTTTTATAATTACATGCTTATGCTAATGGCGTAGAAATATAACAAAAAGTCTTCATTCCCATTGGGAAAGGGAACGTTGGGAACCAATACCCAGGGGACAGTTCCCATCCGACGGGCAAGGATAGAACTCCGCGCTCCTCGATGATGACTCACCAGTCCACGTGATCAGATCCCTCTTCGTCCACTCCTCTTCTATTCCGCAGGGGAACGCCGCGCACTTCCGGGGGAACGCGTCTCCAGGGAGCTGCGTTCATGCTTCCATGGATGGATAGATCTATGAACGTACCAATAATGGATGGATGAGTGACTCACGAAGAATGGTCCGGCCCAATAATTTCGTGGGATGGGAATTTGGTAACCTTGGTTTAACAAATAGAGGGGGTGTTCTACACTCACTGAGATTCGAGGTGACACGGTATTACCGTCTGAGCACGGCATCGGAACCAAGAATCGTGCCGCGATGCCGTCGGAGACGTCAGATCAGCAAGGCTGAAGTGAGGATAGAGGATAGAGCGCGTCGTTGCGGACGAATAATTCGCCGGATGAATATCTCACAGGTGGGGAGGTGTCGTCATATTAAACAGGAAGCTTCCTCGATACGCACGCCCCGGCCGGTCTTTTGCCCGGCGGCCGAGTATTCTTCCCGAATTGAATATTCTTTTAGCATTTTTTTTTTTGAAGATGTCACTGAAGTTGGGGTGTGCCGCCCAGTCTGTACATCTCCAAGCATGTGAATAATCCCCTCTCTATTCATTCATCGAGTGAGTGTGCTCCAGGTTGTGGTTTGTAATTCGCAACGTGAACACTGTTGTTCCCTCCGAAGCGGGCTCAAAAAGCAAACAACAAATTCTTGCAGGAGTTTGGGGCATCTGGCACTGGAAAACCCTAAAAATAACAGCCAAAGCATGTTAAGGGTGACGCGGACCCTCTCTTATCTGTTTTTTCAACACCGGAAAAATACTGCTTATTCTCTTGCTGAATTCAACCCGAATGCCAATTTCGGACATATCCCAGTTGTATCAAACTTGCGCAATTAGTTCGTTGGTTCGTTCGTTCTCAGCTCCCCTGGTGCTTGTTCCCATGCTGCTGCGGAGGGGGGATGGCCAAGTCTTCATCCCAGAATCGCGAGGCAGTAAAGTAAGTAGATCACTGCCTCGGCACTGATTGCATGCCGCACTCGTAGATGAACGAGTTTCATGCATTCATCCGTGGGCACATTCTTTTTCCGGAGGCCTATAACGCGATCGCTGTCATTGCAGAATGCATTGCCAAAGTTTCTTCGAGTGTCTTCCTCAGTCTTCTTCTCCTTGTGCTCATCGATAGACGCGGCATTAGTCCGGGTGAGCGGGGCTTGATATCGGTGCTTGCGAGTGTCATTGATCGCTTGATCTTTGAGTCGTAATCCGAAAGTAGGAATCGTGTTGTTGCGCGCTTCGGATTGTGGAAGCGGGTTGGTAATTTGGAGGTGCAGGGGAGAAAGAGGTAGCAGGCGAAGAAGAAAAGGAAGAAGAAGACGCATGACTTATTGCAGAGTCTGTGTGGTGTCGATGGATGTGGAGTGGATTCTCTAATATTTGCTGCCTCGAATTGGTAGTTAATCGGAGGAGTTTTTTTTTGAGAAGAGTTCAGGAACGGTGAGTGAAAATGCCCAGATTGTTGCCTATGAGATCGATCGGGGCTCCTTCGAAGGCGAGGAGTAGCAGTGCCAGAAATCTGGCGCGGGCGACAGCTGAGAAGGGGCGGGAGGAAATAGCCTCTGGCTTAGGCACGGCGAGTCTCGTGCGAGTACCTTCGCAAACCTTGAATATAAACACGATGGGACTATTATCAGCGCAATTTCAAGCTTGCAAAGGCACGGAGAAAGGTTCTAGGGCGGCGGAATCGGACGCTGAAAAGATGAGGAATAAGTTTTTTGGCAACGGCGTCAATTCCGAAAACAGATTTGGGAGTCAGTGCGTGAGCAGTGGGAGCGAGCATGAGTTTAACTCTGTCTGCCTAGGCGCCATGGTGAACGGGTTCATTGAGAATGAGGCTGACAATGGCCGATTCAGTCGGCCGCTGTGCAATTGCGAGGCGAGTGGTGCAATGTGTGATTGCAACGATTTTGACGAGTCTATGTCCTCACTCGGAGAACTAGCGGAATTGTTGACGGGATTGGTATCGAGCACCAATGTTACCGAGCGAGTCTTGCTTGCTGAAGTTAACAAGGCAATGGCTTCGGCCAGAGAGCTTACATCCTCTGAGGATGATGTTACTTTCTGCTTGAGACGTCAAGTGATGAAGCATCTCAGGACCGTAGGTTACAATGCTGCAATTTGTAAATCACGATGGGACCATGCTGGGAGTTTTCCTGGTGGCGATTATGAGTATATCGACGTGGTATTTGAAAGTGAAATTGGGAACAGTGAACGAATTATCATCGACATCGACTTCAGGGCTCAATTTGAGATCGCTCGTCCTACATCTTGCTACAACGCTTTGGTACGCGTGTTACCGACTGTGTTTGTCGGCAAGGCAGATTGTCTTCTTCAAGTTGTGAACTTCATGTCCGATGCTGTGAAGACGTCCCTGAAGGAGCGAGATATGCATTTGCCTCCGTGGAGAAAGCCTGCTTACATGCGGGCGAAGTGGTTTGCATTTTACAAACGCACGACCAATGCTACTGTTCAGAAGACTAGCAACGATGGTTTTTCCGACATTTCCCGCATTGCTGTGAGAGATCACGGCTGGGACTCCAAGTATACCGACGTGATGGAGGTGGACTACCTCAGAGGTGGAGAGAGACGGACAGTGAAGGATTTTAAGAATCCTGTCTGCAAGAATCTTACAGGGGTTCCTTGCAAGCCTTCAGCACCTGAACCTATCAAAAGCACTGTTGACAATAATGAATGGCAGCCTCCGGTCTTGAAGCCAAGAGTATTTCAACGACCTTGTCAGGCGGGACTTGCATCAGTTTTGAGAGAAGCAGGTCTGACTTCCTCGTTTAGATTGATCGAAGAGCAACGGCTGGAGCGGAAGAGCTTGCCGATCCCGGTTTGAGTACCCGACGTCGCTGCACTTCGATCATCCTTCACTTGGGTCTGTAATATACACACGATGTAGCGCTTATTCACATGATGTGCATATTATTGTCACATATCTTTGCCGCAAGTGTTTTGTCTTTTCAGATCACGACGGGGCTAGTACTTACGAAAAATAGTAGATTGCGAGAGGTTCTTGGGTATAAGTGTATGAAATTTTGGGCTCGACGTTCTGTGGGTGGCAACCTTGGCCCCTTGCACCAGCGTCCCGCTTTGCAGAGAAATCTAGGAGCACCCACGGGTAACAGGAGATGAGGGCAGCGGACAATTTAATATGTCGTGGTTTCCGTGCCGGATTTTTTGACAGTAGGAGCAGTTTGGAAGTGTGATTTGTGTATATATATATATATATATATATATACTATTAGGAGCGAGTATTACCACTCACGGTTGGATTTTTTCACGAGCCGCAGAACTCAAGGCTCTGAGTTGAGTTTGATTGCTTCCATTGCCAACGCTGTTTGGAGAAGTCACATTTTTTTTGGAATAATACAAAACAATTTCATCATCCATTTTATGTCCAGCGAAGGGTGCTATGTATCTTACTTTCATGCGATGTTGTCTTGCTCGGTGTCGGTCAACTAACTGGCTCAGAGAAGCTTTTGGACGAAATGGATGGTCGCTTAAGTCTCTGGTTGCTAGCATCTTCGTTTTCTGGCCACGTTAGAGTGCAACAAATTTATTTTATTGTTACATTGAGCCAGCTTGTAAGAGTATATTTCACTTTGTTGTTCATCAACGATTTCGTTACATTTGCAGGATCACGCGTCAAATTTTTAGCGAGAATGGGGCTGTATTCCGTGCGTAGTTACTGGCATCAGGAATATCACTATCACGAGGAACAGCACCATGGTGAGTGATATTAGTTGAATAAACACATCATATAAATCTAATAAAGAAGCAGAAGAATACAAGCACCAAAAAGCTGACGCTGCATAAGATTGTTACGAGCAACAAACTCGCTCATAGAAGTCTCTTGGATTTATTAGTTAGGCAGATGATAATCATATAGGTTGCCGTTTTGTTGTTATCTATGTTTCGGTATGAAAGCTCTGCAAATATCATTTAGATTTCAGCGCTTCACCTTGACAAATCAAGACCAATGTGATAACAGCTGCGCATCAAACCGCCTGTTGTGCCTGACAGAGGCCATTAAGCATAAATGCCTGGAGTTTTAAAACCTTGAAGAATTTCTAAAGGGCACTTTGTTGGGCAGGCATGTTTTTGACGAGGAATACTCTCAAGCCTCATGTGCGCGAGACAATGAGGATGAGTTTGAGATTCTTCTTGAACATGGCTGAACTACAGTATTTTGTTTCAGGTCGCAGTTTGTGCACAATTTTTTCACAGTGAGTAACTTTTTCTCTTAAGTACGAGCGCTCTTCTGCAATTTCATGTTGACCGAAATGCACTTTCATCAGGCTCCATTAGCAGAAAATAACAGGGAACAACATTCGTAGACAAACCAGTACAAATTTGTTTTGGGTTGAAGTTTAAATTGCAGTCTGAAACAAGCAGATCACTCCGCTAAATCCTCAACCTGGGTGGAAGCGAGGGCAGTTAATGGTGATGAATGCTGACAATGGTGGTGTGTTTCAGGATGGAACTTGTACAGTCACGAGGCTTCGACAACTTGTCCAGCACCATAGTCTGCTACAATGGCCGCATATTTTTTTGTATTACAGACCCATCAACATTAGTTTTGAATTGAACAAGTGGCAATACAAACTTGAAGAGCTTTTCGAAGTCTTTTCAAGGAGTCCAAAATGGTGGCTCAGCCCCCAACCAATTGCAAGGAAAGGCTGATCAAAGTTTATGTGTGAAACTAAAGAACGCTCTTTTCATTTATTGTAATCGGTTTTCTGATGAGGTGTGCACCAATAGCAACACTCCGCTTGCCAGTAAAATATAGGAGGTAGTCCATGATGAATAAGGCGAGAGTGATCCTGGTTCGAACGGTGGGCCATTAATCTGAATGCCAAGTGTCCTGGACTTTTCAATATGTGAATAACTCTTCCGGACATTGCATATCCATGAAGGTCCTTTTCATGCTTGCTTCTTCACATCCATGATGTGTTCTGATTGCGCCACCTCATCCTGCTCAATTTTCTGGCATTCTCATTCTCGATCAAACGTCTGCACCAACCTACGCCTTGAGTCTCTTGGCGGATTGCTGGCTTCGGCGATGGTTACAGCGAGGTGTTTCAAGTCTATCCATACATTCCCGGTACCCACCGACTTGAAACCGGGAACAAAATAAAGTGAGTTCTGAAGCCCGACGTGGCGGAGAGAGATGGTTGGTCAACCCCATTAATATCACTGCGACGATTTGAAACAAAAAGGTTCAGCTGGGGGGGGGGGGTCAGCTTTTTCCTCCCTAGCATAGCCTTTGCAGTAAGACTACTTATGTCGACGTGAGAGTCGAGAAACCCGAATTGCAGAGGCATGATCTCTGATCCCCACACAGACTGCCGTCGCGTCTTGAAGGATCATCGTTGAGTATCACAGCAGATCCTGCAGGCATCAGAAAAACGAGATGTTCAGATTCCCGAGGGCGTTCGTTGCGTTCCCTTGTTTCTGAGCGCACTAACGTGGGTGCGTGGACACTCCATGTTTTTATTCGAACTGGGGTGCGTCGAATGTCCGAAACGAAGATCCCTTGCGATGCCGCCAATTCCTCGATCAAACAAACAGATCCCATGTCCCGATCGAAGATACCCCTCTCTCATCCTCCGTCCCTCATCGAACTCGCCGTCTTTCCATGTCCAGGACAAGCCCATTTTTATTGCGCAAACTTACTTCTTTTTGGTTTGCAGATTTATATTTTTGAAGCAGAAACGGGGGTGCACTTCTCTTTGCTGCTGGTGCGAAATATTGCATGACATGATATCGAGTTCTTTTTACTGAACTCATGGGTCATTTTTTCTGGTTAGATTGATAGGTTTTTTTTTACTTGGGGGAAGGTGTTCTCTGTACTAGATGAGAGCCACTTCTGGTACATAAATACATTGTTTAGGGTCCTAACTCAATCTATTATATTTAACTGAAGTAAACAATATTTGTAAGTAAATGTGTCCCTTGTCCATGAACATAGTTTGCACCATGAGGTTTCTTTGTATTGTTTGAATGCAAGTAGTAGAAATGAGAATCTAAACCTTTTTTGATTGAATTAGAAAGATTACTCACAAAGAATGTTTGTTTTGAATTATATCTATTTAGAAACAGAATAAAATATTGTTTAGATATAGTTTGATAAAAATAGATATATTCTAATAAATAGAATATTGGATTGTCAAATAGTCCTAAAATCTACTAAAGGTTGTATCATTTAACCAAGAAAAGAGATATAATGGAATTATATAAGTTGTGTTAAAATTTGTATATACATATACATACATATAAGTTATACTATAAATCCACACTAATTTCTTTTTACAATAAAAAATTATATTATGTTTAAAAAAAATAATATTATAATATAGGAATTTTTAGTTGAAAGTAAAAAAATATAAAATATTGCATCTTTTAATTTAAAATTAAAGATAAAGAATAAGATCATAATTCTACAACTTCTTAAGTATCCTTTCTAATAAACTAGCAATAAATTTATTGTTGCTCCATTTTAGTGCAATGGATCTAACAACATGTCTTGTAGTAAATCATAATATAAGAAATTAAGCTTAGATGCAATTTGATTTGGATTGCCACTTTTTATTATCTTTATTTATTATATGGTATAATAAATAAGAAAATTAAGTTAATAATGCAACATAATTTCTTTGATTAAGTACCTATTTTAATTTGGTTGTTATTTATGTTTATTTTTTTAAAATATTAATTCCTACATTAGATCTAAATTTTCTGGAGACATAAGCAACTACAAATAAATCAAGTTATTTTGAATATTTTGAAGCAGAATGGTGTTTCTTCAGAATATATATATATATATATATATATATATATATATAGTTTAAATTTTATTTTATTGTATAACCTAATTATTTAGAATGCATAGACATTATATATGAAATAACTTATTTTTTTAGCCATAAAAATCTTTCATATTATAAAACTCTTTTTCTTATAATTTTACTACTCTTAAGTGCTTAATGTGAGAATTTATGCTTAAAATTATATTATCCAACTATAAAAAATAATTTATTATTTCAATTTTTTTAGAGATATTTTTATTGAGATAATTTATTATTTTTGATCATACTCAATTGATACAAAATCATACTTTAGATTTGTAATTTCATCTGAAGTTACAAAATAAGACTTATACAAAATCAAAGTCTTATTTATCAAAGATTATTTAAATTTATATTATAAGTCTAAATATAGAAAAAATTATATTAAATTTACATCAATATAATGCTTAAATCATCTATTTGTCATAGATATATTTATTCTAAATAATTATCTAGGTAATATGAATAAGCAAAAGTGGATAAAAGTAAATTAATTTAATAATATATTATAAAGAAACTTCTTAGAAGCTTCATAGATGTATTTTTACCTTTATACATGTCTTTAGGTGATTCATAGGTTAGAAACTTGGCAAATAAGTTAGTCATGTGTTGCACATGTTAATAGCTTATAGAACAAGCTAACTATGTGATACACATATAGAAAACTTGTCTTGTAAGTTAGTCGTGTGTCTTACAAATTGGACACATATTAGAGATCCTGTAGAACATTATCACGTAGCTCCTAGGTAGATAGTATATATAGAGGGAAGATTGAAGCCTTCTTTACTCTTGTTAATTCTTTTCTTACTTCTAGTATAATTTTAAGAGTCTCTAGCTTCTTAATCTTTGACAATAGCCATTCCAATTTCTTATTATTTTTTTTTTTAATTTTTTTTTTAAATCTTTTTTTGAGTTTTTTACTTATTTATATATCTTCTTTGAATTCTTATTCTTGATAGATTGATAGGAATCCTAATTCATTATTCTTATCTTACTTTTAGAAGTGAGTGGATTATCCTACTTCTATTGTTATGTTCCAAAAGTTCGAGACTATCCATCTTTGATCTAATATTTTTTGTTTTTTGATTTTTTTTTAATTTTAATTTTAATTTTTTTAAATTTTTTTTAAAGAAAGTAGATTACTTTTTTTGTAGAAATTTTTATTTGATATTAAATGAAACAAGATCAATCTATCTTGAGAGTCTAAGACTATTCTAATCTATAGCCACATAAAACTTCATCATAAAGTAAGAAAAAATGGACCAAAATAAAACTGAATAGAAATAAATATAATAGGACACAAAAGACAAAATTATGCAAAAGAAAACAGAACAAAATAAAATTAAATTGGAAGATGCAAAACCAAAATTTATTAAGAAAGAAGATCCAAAGCCATACCTGATTAGATGCCTAGAGTGTCATGGCTAGTCTTAATTATACTTTGCTCTATCACCCAAGACTTTCTAGAATGTTCCTAGATGATAGACCCTACTTAGATAACCACCTTAAATTCCTTCTAGAAGGTTCTATAATAGGCCCTACCTAAATAACCGCCCTAAGCCTTTTCTAGAAGGTTTCATGGTAGGCTCATCTTAGATAATTGTCCTAAACTCTTTCTAGAATGTTCCACAATGGATTCTACATGGTCCACTAATCTAACTTTAATTCTAAAAACTTCTATAACTTTACAAGCATTGTTTCAACTATCTATTCATATGTGTTAATAATACAAATATCTTATCTATACCTTGTTATATGAAAAATTAAAAATTATCTTTGTCTATTTGATTTGTGAATCTAGTAAATTGTTTAAAATAGAAAAAAAAAATCATGGATGCTACACTTGGCAAAAGTGAAAATAGATTTGTAACTATCATAGATCTTCATGAGCTTCTTAATACTCTTAAGGTAGAAATTTCACACATTATCAATGTCAATTATGGAAGTATTATTCCTACGACTATAGAAGAAGTCTAAGTTTATGCCAAAAAGTTTTGCAATTGAGAGAAGCAAGTAGATTTAGCTTACAACCAAATTCAAGAAGTCTTCCTTCTACAAACATGAAAGGAGAAGGATTAATATGCTTGAGAAGTTGAATAGAACAAGATTAAAATTTCAAGGATTTTTGTAATAAGTCAAGTTCTATCTCAGGTTGCATCTTTTTCAATATCATGATGGATTTAATCAAGTTGGCTTCAAAGGTGCACTTTTATCTAAAAGTGCTCTCTTTTCATTTACACCTTTGATAGAAAAAGATTTATGAAAATTTTATAGTTTGAATTCATTCCTAAAAATATTTATGATTATATTTAAAGAAAGTGATTATAAAAGAATAATAGAAACCAAGCTCTTATTTTTATAATAAGGATCAAGGATAGCCACCATATATCCTATTGAATTCCAAAACCTTGTTTATGACATGGTTTTAAATAACAAATTCCTTATCAATCAATTTTGATATGGATTGAAGGATAATATTAAAAATTTGTTATTGATAATATTGAAAGTAGATTCTTTGAAATAATTTATTTCTTAAGCCGTTTTATATAATAATTAACTATTTAAAAGTGTTAATAACAAAAATTTGATTGAAGAAGAATAAATCAAATAGTAACAATATCTTCTAAGTTTTCAAAAACTTATTTATCAAGACTAAAACCAATGCAAATTGATATAATATGTTTTAAACTTCTTATTGAGTAAAAAAAAGATTCAACGTTGTCAAGAGGATTTGTACTTATATTATGGAAAAGCTGAGCATATTGCTTAACATTATCTAAAGAAGCAATGCAATTACAAAATGAAGAGTATAGCTGTGAAAAGAGACAATGTGTCAAAAAACGAGTTTTTTCAATTACAATAAGAACTATACAATTGGAATCATGTGCAACACCTAATAAAGGTCATATTTTTTCCTTAGATTCATCATCTTATGTTACAAAAGATCTATGTTTAGGACCTAAAAATCACAAAGTCTTTGCCATATTAGCTTTAAGAGCCTCAACTTGTTTTTATAGGTAAAGACTTTGTC